CATGTACAAGTCCCAAGGTTTATCCAAAATCTAGATGCCTACATGCAAATGTGATCTTCCTTAAGGCTCTCAAAATTTCCATCTCCAATGGCCAACTTCATGCATCCACTCGATCATTCCCTACGATAGAAACAACTATCGCTAAGCATATAGCTTAGCGGTGTAAAAACTATAGGTTCAGAGCCATCAGATTCACCAAGTTAACTTTCTCAAGTCATGGGCAGCACCACAGAAACATAATAGTTAAATCAAATAAACAATATAATGAGAGTATCAAGTTTTATATTTAAAGATCCAAATGTCAAGAATGCTCATAGCACCAATTTCCAAGAGATTCAATAACAAGGCTCACCCAATATATACATCATGTCGTCACACCAAGCACAAGCAGGTATCAAGAAGGGACGGCGCACTGTATCAAGAAGGGTCAAAGCCCAATAATCAAGAGAACCAAGAACCATATTTAAAATGGCTTTCTAGTTCGTACTTAAAATGGACAACTTCCATTCTTAAGACGGACTAAAATCCAGTGTCAAGATGGAAAATGACCGAATCAAGAGGCATGCCAGTAGTGACAAAGTCACAGCCACAAGAAGGAAAAGGTCCCAACCAGAGTGCCAAGTGATCAAACAATCCGTACAAGTAGGCGAGTTACACAAGCGTCTTTAACGTCTTAAAGGATACCAACACGACAATGCAAAGTGACAAGAGGTAACCAAGGTACCAAGATCAACTTTCAAATATACCAGCAGTTAAAAGAGTGAAAGTACAAGTTTATACACAAACCTCAGTGCTTTAGCATAGAAATAGTCCAACACAACTTCACGAGTTCAAACCGTAGACCAACCAACGTATCAAGGTCCTCAACTTGTTCACGAGTATATATAACCTTAAAAATAAAATTAAATAACTTGTTTAGTTCCTAGAAGCTCAATAATGTTGATGTAAAACAGTATTATCATCAAAAGTAAGCTTAGCCTGTACAAATACGACTATGCTCCAAAAACAGTAATTCTGGCCAGCCTAGTACCTCATGTCGCAACTTAGATATGAAAAGGAAAACGGAAAAACTAGACTTTATAACCTTCATGAAAGATGTAGATACATCTCTTAGGGTTGCAAAAAAACAAGAATCACCGCAAAATGTATTTTGTATAAAAAGATATATTCAAAACCCTAACAGCTATACATACAGGATTTCTAATTTCAAAATCTGCACAGAGCATGTCCTATGTTGCGTCCCATATTTCGAATCCATAACCGCTAAATTAGAGTTTTACATAAACGTAATACTTGTACATATACGAATTAGCTTTCCAGATAATATTTATTCACTGTAAACTAAGTTCTATAACTCAGGTTATGCCTAAAATACTTAACACTGCCCAGCTCCAAAACAGATTTTGCCACTTACCAAAGAGAAGGGTGTGTCTCGAACCCAGCCAAAAGGACCAAGTTTTTATCTTGTTATTTTGAAGAAAAAATGGTTAGATAATGTTCTTAGGTTCTTAGACCTCAGGGGAAACGAATTTCACTAGAGGAGGTGTCAAAATATAGTCTCAAGGGTGATGCTTATCACAATGCACAACTCTCTCCAAAAGGTGGCTGCCCAAATAGTTGTGTGCTGCCCAAAATGCATACATATACACCTATATATATATATATATATATATATATATATATCCTTCACCTCCTTTTAAAGTTATACATAATTCCAATTAGAATATTATCAAAATACCCCAATACAATACCTTAAATTACGATCACAGTTTATGCTAAGCAAGTTTTCAATTATCACAAAATTTCAAGTTCCCAAAATGTGAATAAAAGATATTGTAGTAATTAAGGAACGGTAAATCGGCATGCGACTATTGGTTAATATTTAGGGGTGTTACAACTCTCTCCCCCTTAAAGAAATTTCGTCTCGAAATTTACCTTACACTAGTCCCGGAACAAGTGCGGATACTGGGTCCTCATGTCTTCTTCTCTTTCCCAGGTAGCTTCTTTTCCAGAATGGTTCCTCCAAAGTACCTTTTTTAAGGGGATTATCTTGTTTCTAAGTTGCTTTACTTCTCGTGCTTCAATTCAGATAGGTTCTTCATTATAAGTCAAGTCATTCAACAGAAAGAACATGCGATGGATCAGAACGATACCTTCTGAGCATAGAAACATGAAAGACATTGTGGATCTTGTCAATCTCCAGTGGCAGAGCTAATTTATATGCAACTGGTCCAACCCTTTCAACTATATCATAAGGTCCAATAAATCGGGGACTAAGTTTTCCTTTTTGTCCAAATCTCATAATCTTTTTCCATGGAGACACCTTTAGGAATACTTTATGTCCCACTTGATATCCAATGTCCTGCCTTTTAAGATCAGCGTACACCTTTTGTCTATCCGAAGACATATTTAGACGATCCTTGATAATTTTTACCTTGTCCTCTATTTGTTGCACAACTTCAGGACCAACAAGGTTTCTTTCACCTACTTCACTCCAACAAAGAGGGGTCCGACATTTTCTTCCGTATAGGGCATCATAGGGAGGCATTCCAATACTCGATTGGTAGTTATTATTATAGGCAAATTCTATCAATGCCAAGTGTTTGCCCCAACTACCCTCAAACTCCATAATGCAAGCTCGAAGCATATCTTCCAAAATTAGTATCACCCTTTCCGACAGGTCGTCTGTCTAAAGATGGAACGAAGTGCTAAATTTCAACTTAGTACCCAAAGCTTCCTACAAGCGACCCCAAAATCTAGATGTAAACCTTGGGTCTCGGTCAGATACAGTAGACATAGAGATCCCATGTAGTCTTACCATCTCATTAATGTACAATTCGGCTAGACGCTCAAGTGAGTAATCCATCTTGATTGCTAAGAAGTGAGCACTCTTGGTTAGCCTGTCCATAATCACCCATATTGCATCATGATTTCTTTGGGTGCGAGAAAGTCCAGAAACAAAGGCCATAGTTATTCTCTCTCATTTCCATTCCGGCATCGACAAGGGCTGTAGTAAACCAACTGGGACCTGATGTTCTTCCTTTACTTGTTGAAAAACCAAACATTTAGAACTGAACTCCGCAATATCTCTCTTCATACCATTCCGCCAATAATTTTCTTTGATGGTCCGGTACATCTTTGTACCCCCAGGATGCAATGCATATGGTGAGGTATGTGTTTCATTCATTGTTTCTCTCCTCAATTTGTCATCATTTGGGACACATAGTCTATTTTGATAAAATAAGACACCATCCTCTGTGAATGTAAAATCAAGTTTTCCCCCATTTGAACTTCTCTAGTCAATTTTACAAGCTTCTCATCTATATTTTATGCTTCCTTCACATGTTCAAGTAATATTGGCTTTACTTGCAAATTAGCAATAACAGGACCATTTAAATCAGGTGTAAAACAAACATTCATGGATCTTAACTCAAGAAGCAAGGGTAAAGGACTCAAGGAAATGCTTGCGAAGGATTTTCGACCTAAGGCATCTGCAACCACATTGGCCTTACCTGGATGATAATCAATCGTGCAATCATAATCCTTGATGAGTTCAAGACATCTACGTTGTCGAAGGTTTAGCTCCTTTTGAGTACCCAAGTACTTTAAGCTCTTGTGATCAATGAATATATGACATTTCTCTCCATACAAATAATGCCACCATATTTTTAAAGCAAAAACTACAGCAGCAAGTTCAAGATAATGAGTAGGATAATTCAATACATGCGGTTTTAATTTTCGAGAGGCATAAGAAATAACCTTCCCTTCTTGCATCAAAATGCATCTGAGACCATTGTGAGAAGCATCAATGTATACCACATATTCTTTCCCTTCAATTGGTTGAGTAAGTATAGGTGCTTGAGTCAACAAGGATTTGAGAGTTTCAAAGCTCTCTTGGCATTTGTCATTCCAATTAAACTTCACCTCCTTCTGCAAGAGTTTAGTCAATGGAGAGGCGATAATGGAAAAGCCTTTCACAAATCTTCTGTAATATCCTGCTAAGCCTAAGAAACTTCTTACCTCAATTTGACTTTTGGAAGGTCTCCATTCAACAACTGCTTGTATCTTACTAGGATCCACCTTCACGCCTTCTGCTGATACAACATGTCCCAGAAACATCACTTCATCACGCCAAAATTCACACTTGGAAAGTTTAGCATAGAGTTCTTTCCCCTTCAAAATTTGCAAAATAATCTGGAGGTGTTTATCATGGTCTTCACTACTTCTGGAAAATGTTAAAATATCATCTATAAAAACAACCACAAACTGATCAAGATAAGGGTTGAATACTCGATTCATTAGATCCATGAATACCGCAGGAGCATTTCTCAATCCGAATGACATCACAAAAAATTAATAATGACCATATCGAGTTCTAAAAGCAGTTTTAGGAATATCTTTCTCTCTAACACACAGTTGATGATATAAAGACCTTAAATCAATCTTTGAGAATATTTTAGCACCCTTTAGTTGGTCAAACAAATCATCGATCCTTGGTAGTGGATATCTATTCTTGATTGTAATTCAGTTCAATTGTCTATAGTCAATACAAAGCCTAAGAGTGCCATCTTTCTTATTTACGAACAAAAAAGGGATTCCCCAAGGAGAAACACTAGGTCAAATAAAACCTTTCTAAAGAAGTTCTTGCAATTGAGATTTCAATTCTCTTAATTCTGCCAAATCCATTCTATAAGGACTAATAGAAATAGGGGTAGATCCAGGAATAAGCTTGATTGGAAATTCAACCTCTCTTTCCGGGGTTAATCTAGGAAGGTTTTCTGGGAAGACTTCTAGAAAATCACATACAATAGGTATGTCCTTGATACAAGGACTCTTTAGTTATATATCAACTATGTGAGCAAGGTATGCCCTACAACCTTGACGCAACAACTTTCTTGCCAAGGCCGCAGAAATAATAATAGATGTCCATGATCTTTCACCTTGTACAATGATGTGTGAAAATATAGGATCTTTAAAGGTCACATGCTTTGACCTACAATCTACAACTGGATGATATTTATAAAACCAATCCATCCCGATAATAACATCAAATCGTTAAAGGGCATTTCAATCAAATCAGCAGGGAAGCCTATGTTTTGAATCACGAAGGGATAATCTTGGTAAACTCGATTACACACCACTTGATAACCCAAAGGACTTTCAACCAGCACATCATAACTAAGTCTCACAGATTTCACATTTTCAGGAAGAACAAGTGATGAACAAATATAGGAATGTGTAGAACCAGGATCAAACAGTGTAAACACACATAAGCCAAATAAGTGAAATTTATCGACAACCACGTCTTGTCCATCTAGCTCATCCCTCTGCCTCATAGCATAAGCACGTGGAGTAGTCATTTGTCCACTAGCTTGATTAGCTCCACTTGTACATATTGGTTGAGTGTTTTTAGGTCTTGCACCTCTATTAGTTTGAGGAGGATTAATAGAAGGCTTATGAACTGAGCCTTCAGTTCTCAAGGAAGGAGCATTATTAGAATTAGGAAAATCCTTCACTTTATGATCAAAGCTCCCACAATTGAAACATGCACCAAAAGCTCTCCTGCAAGTACCATAATGACTCTTTCCACATTGTGGACAAGTTGGAACACGAGGCTTTCCTTGGCCATAATTTGGAGTGCTAGCTGTAGAAAAATCTGATCTGTTTTGCTTTTGTAGCGGTGGCTTGTTATCACTACCAGCCTTAGAATTATCAAACCTTCCCCTTTTTGATGGACCCCCAAAATCTGGTCTAGGCTTTCGAAATTTGTTTTCATTTCTACTAGCTTCTTCTTTATCAAGTAGTTCCTAAATAAAAGTAGTAGACACTACTTACAAAAGTTTTCATTTTGCAGGATCGCCACATTCTTCCGAATGGAATCATTTAAACCATCTTCAAATTTCCTACACTTGTCTTTTTCCTCATCAATAATACCTCCAGCGTAACGAGAGAGCCTTAGAAACTTCTGTTGGTACTCAGCAATAAACATGCCTCGTTGCCTTAAATTCAAAAACTCCATTATCTTTGTATCACAATAAGCAGGTGGGACATACTTCATACGAAATTCCCTAAGAAAATCATCCCAAGTAAGAACATGAGGTTTTACTTTGGCATTTGGAACACTTACCCACCAATCGTGAGCATCCTTTTGTAATAGTGAAATAGCATACTTAAATTTGGCAACATCGGAACACTCTAACTGCTCAAATACGCTTTCCATGTGCTCCAACCATTGTTCAACATCCGTGGGATCAACAGTGCCTTTAAACTCAACTCCACCCATTTTCCTCATTTTCTCAAAGTTAATCACGTTGGGATCATGCATCGCTTCAGCCATGTGGTGGAAGAATTCAGCCATTTGTTGAAAAGGAGGATTCATGGCTTGAGTACCACGACTCATGTGAGGATGTGAACCAGCTCTTACACCCTGATGGTTTCCCACTTCAGCCCCCACTAGTGTGGGGAACATATTGATTCGAGAAAGGTTCTCCAACCTCTTCTAGTGCATGAGGTTGGGGAACAGAGGTACCTGAACCTTCACGATCAACTTTCATAGGTCGGTCAAAAGGGAATATCACATTTCATTAGGGACATGTACATGATGCATCTGCACTCTACTTGCGATAAAATATTATAAACCATGTAAGTGAACAAAAAATCCAAATAGAACCTTTTTCGAAAGCGAACAAGTATACAAGTAATTCACAGCAAAAGTCCTAGAACCACAAACCTATGCTCTGATACCAACACTTGTAGCGTCCCTTTTGAATTAATATATGCCAATAGCTCATAAGGTTTTTATGCATATATTGTCCTCACACTAGTAAAAATGATATAAAAAGAATATTACTAACTTCCCAATACCCAAACTAGGTGGTTCATGTTTCACACAATCATTCAAAATTAGTGGTAAATTTAATATATTACAAGACTTTGGCTTACACACCCCAAAAGAACAAAATATATAGCCATACATATATTACAACCCATGGTGACATGATCAAATTAGTCCTCAAAATTTCATGTAAATATACAACACATAGATCATGTACAAGTCCCAAGGTTTATACAAAATATAGATGCCTATATGCAAATATGATCTTCCTTAAAGGCTCTGAAAATTTCCATCTCCAATGGCCAGCTTCATGCATCCACTCGATCATTCCCTACGATAGAAACAACTATCGCTAAGCATGTAACTTAGTGGTGTAAGAACTATAGGTTCGGAGCCATCAGATTCACCAAGTTTACTTTCTCAAGTCATGGGCAACACCATAGAAACATAATAATTAAATCAAGTAAACAATATAATAAGAGTATCAAGTTTGATATTTAAAAATCCAAATGTCAAGAATGCTCATAGCACCAATTTCCAAGAGATTCAATAACAAGGCTCACCAATATATACATCATGTCATAACACCAAGCACAAGCAGGTATCAAGAAGGGATGGCGCACTGTATCAAAAATGGTCAAATCCCAATAATTAAGAGAACCAAGAACCATATTAAAAATGGCTTTCTAGTTCGTACATAAAATAAACAACTTCCATTCTTAAGACGGACTAAAAATCAAGCGTCAAGATGGCAAATGATCCGAATCAACAGACATGCCAATAGTGACAAAGTCACAGCGACAAGGAGGACAAATGTCCCAACAAGAGTGCCATGTGATCAAGCAATCCGTCCAAGTGGGTGAGTTACACAAGCGTTTTTAACGTCTTAAAGGATACCAACACGACAAAGCAAAGTGACAACAGATAACCAGGTACCAAGATCAACTTTCAAATATACCAACAGTTAAAAGAGTGCAAGTACAAGGTTTTACACAAACCTCGGTGCTTTAGCATAGAAACAGTCCAACACAACTTCACGAGTTCAAACCGTAGACCAACCAACGTATCAAGGTCCTCAACTTGTTCACGAGTATATATAACCTTAAAAATACAATTAAATAACTTCTTTAATTCCTAGCAGCTCAATAATGATGTAAAATAGGATTTTCATCACAAGTAAGCTTAGCCTGTACAAATACCATTATGCTCCCAAAACAGTAATTCTGGCCAGCCTAGTACCTCATGTCGCAACTTAGATTTGGAAAGGAAAATGGCAAAAGTAGACTTTATAACCTTCATAAAAGATGTAGATACATATCTTAGGGTTGCAAACAAATAAGAATCACCGCAAAATGTATTTTGTATAAAAATATATATTCAAAACACTAACAGCTGTCCATACAGGATTTCTAATTTTGAAATCTGGACAGAACTTGTCCTATGTTGTATCCCATATTTCGAATCCATCATAGCTAAATTAGAGTTTTACATAAACATTAGAGTTATACATATATGAATTAGCTTTCCATTTTTCACTGTAAAATAAGTTCTATAACTCAAGTTTTGCTTAAAATACTAAACACTACGCAGCTCCAAAACAGATTTTACCACTTACCAAAGAGAAGGGTGTGTCTCGAATCCTAGCCAAAAGGACCAAGTTTTTCTCTTATGATTTTGAAGAACAAATGGTTAGATAATGTTCTAACGTTCTTAGACCTCAGGGGAAACAAATTTCACTAGAGGAGGTGTCAAAATATAGTCTCAACAGTGATGTTTATCACAATGCACAACTGTCTCCAAAAGGTGGCTGCCCAAATATTTGTGTGCTGCCCAAAATGCATACATATACACCTATATATATATCCCTCACCTCCTTTTAAAGTCATACATAATTCTAATTAGAATATTACGAAAATACCCAAATACAATACCTTAAATTACAATCACAATTTATGCTAAGCAAGTTTTCAATTATCACAAAATTTCAAGTTCCCAAAATGCGAATAAAACATATTGTAGTAATTAAGCAATGGTAAATCCACATGCGACTCTTGATTAGTATTTAGGAGTGTTACAGAATATCCAAGAGCATTGGCAATGCAACTTATGAGTTAGAGCTACTACAAGAGTTAGCAGCAGTTCATCCGATATTTCATGTCTCCATATTGAAAAAGTGCATGGGAGATCCTTCACTTATCATACCAATTGAATATATTGGTATCAAGGATAGCTTGTCCTATGAGGAAAATCCGGTTCAGATTCTAGATCGCCAAGTTCGCTAGTTGGGACTAAGGAAGTAGCATCACTCAAAGTCCTTTGGAGGAATCAGTTTGTTGAGGAAGCTACTAGGGAAGCTGAGGAGAATATAAAAAAGAGATATCCGCATTTCTTTGAGCCCGAAGAAATTTTAGACCAAGGTACTAATTCTCTTCTTAGTACTCTTTAATTTATATACTTGATGTGTTAGATTTGATTGTTGGATGTTTGAGCTGAATGTTAGATGTTACACCGTGATCCTAGTAAGAGTAATCTTATTCGAGGACGAATGTTCCCAAGGGGGAGATATTGTAACATATCGCTATTTGAAAGAAGTAGAAAGAGTTAGAATTAGAAAGAGTCATATTATGAAAGAAGGAAAAAATGTGGAAAATTGGTTAAGTTAAGTTAAGTTTGAGTTTTTGGTTAACTTCAAATGACCAGAACTTCTAGATGAAGATGAGTTAGGTGTGCTTCTAAATACCGTAGGAAATATCTTGGAATTATCTTTCCAATGCCACTGAGTTTGCACAATTCCGAATTTGTATGAGTGAGATATGCCTATTTGAAGTTGGGCTATTCAAATAAGAAATGTCTAATCCAAATTTCGGAAGGGTAGTTTGGTCTTTCTTTTATGCTTTTGAAAACTAAGTTAGGGCTTAGAGAGAAGATAAAATAAGAGGAGAAAGGAGGAGAAGAAGCAAGGAAATTGCCAAATCTTGAAGCTAATGTCGTGGATTTCGTCAATGGGTGATCCCTACAAGGTATGTGAGATCACATCGCATTGGGTTAGTTCACCCACGCACCAATCATGATTTATTCAGCGAAATTATGTTCTTGAAAGCATTGAAATTGAGTTCTTGATGGATTTGTTTGAAGTTTCTATTGGGTTCTTGATTGTTGATGTTGTTGAGGAGTTCTTGATTGTTGAAGTTGTTGAGGAGTTCCTGATTTTTAATTCATGAAATTAGGTGTCATTGTGAGTAGATTCTTGCATATTTTGGTTATGTAGTCGAATCTAAGTGTTTGGGGGAAAGACCCAATTGAGTTTAGTGGGTTTAGAGTTGAAAAACGACAAAGCAAGAAGTGAAGAGTGAAGATGAATTTCCAAGAGTGTCTAAACTAAAAGTAGACATTGAGGGAGAAGTAAGAAAGGAAATACCCCTTCGTGGATTATGATGTGCCTGTAATTTTTAACGAATTACTTGAGCTAAAGATTATTTAGTTTCCAGAGATGAAGCGACCTGATGAATTTGGAAAACCTAATGACCCAATCTCTTACAAGTATCATCGGCTTTTGGCCCACTCTCTTGAGAAGTGTTTTGACTTAAAGGATAGACTAATGCCATTGGCTAACAAAAATAATATTTTCTTTGATGATTAGAACTGAAGTTCTAACCAAATCTCTATCATATTTGGGTCGCTTGATCTAGTCAAATAATGCATCTCTCAAGAGCCGTTGGAGCGGGACAAATCCCAAGTTTATGGAGACACTGATTAAAGTTGGATTCTTGTGACTAAGGGGAGATGCAATAAGTCAAGTTTATGAAAAAGGATAACACGAGCAACCAATCAGAAGAAGGATGGTGAGGAGACTAAGGAAGAATAAATCAGACAAACTTTCAAAATAGAGAAGGTAGAAGTGTATCACCACCAGAAACCAAAATATCTTGTGACTTAGGGAATTATTACCAAGTTGGTTCTACACAAAGACTACTTAATACAACGTCGAGGCCTCATGTTTCAATGTTGACAAAAAAGAAAAAATGAGTAAAATATTACCAAAGATGTCTTTTGCTAACAAAGAAGAAGCAACGAATGAAATCTCATGAATTTTGTCTCCTTCATCTTCTTAAAATCCTGTTGAACCCCCTTTCAAAGAAATACACGCATGTGATACAAAAATCACATTTATAGATGATGATCTTTTGCTTGGTGAAACATTACAAATATTTCCTTTGTATATGGTGGGTCATGTGCTAGAGAAGAAGATAAAAATAATCTTAACTAGATGAAGGATCTGTAGTTTACATTTTACCTATGCACACATTCAAGGAACATGATATCATGATTGAAGAACTTAGTGAAATTTATTTGTTAATACAAGGATTAAATCTAGGAGATCAGAGGTCCATATGATCTATCAAGATAGAGATTTACATGAAAGATTTCTGATCAAGCGCATGGATGCATGTAATTGATGCAAAGAATTCATACAGCATATTTCTTGGCAGGCCTCGTGTACTTGAAAACAAAATGTCTCATCTTCTTACTATCAAAGTTTTATGTATCTTAGAGATGGAATTGAAAGAAAATAGTCGTGGATCATAATTATTTTCATTGAAGTTTAGTCACACTTCACCGATATAAATTATATT